AAGTCCAACAGAAAGTTTGATATATTTTGCGGTACGATCGATTATGCTGCACCAGAGGTTAGTTTCCGTAAATGCATTTTTTACTTCAACATTTCTCCTTCATTAAAGGATCATGATTTTAATTCCTTAATCTAGGTCTTAACCGGAAAGAAATACGATGGACCGCCACAGGATATTTGGGCCTTGGGGATTTTACTTTATACTCTTATTTATAAGGAGAATCCCTTCTATAACATTGATGAAATCATCGCCAGAGATCTTAGAATTCCATACATATTATCTGAGGGTTCAATTGACCTCGTCAAGAAAATGCTTGATCGAGATACCGACAAGCGTCCATCGATTGATGACGTCTTGAATCATCCATGGCTTCGTGAAGATTAAGTTTCTATGCTTCTTTTTTGAAATCGGCATTCTTTTTTACTTGTATTATATAGTCTAGTTGCATTATTTCATTATTTCAGACCTTTGGGTTATGTAAGATGGGCTTGTTAGAAGAATTACAGATTCATTGTTTATATTTTATTTTACCATACATTGATTTGAATATTCAAAATGGTAGATTATAAATACAATGCCTACTTTATTATTCCTTTTTTTTTTTTTTTCCTGATTGGAAGGCAGATAAATGATATATTTCTTCGTGTAGATTTTTTTTGATTCCCTATATAGATTAGACTTACTTTGGTTACAGTATATATATTTATTTTTCAATAAATAACAGAACCGTATCGTACTATCTATATTATTGTCCCGTGACATTCACGAAAATGTCGCGTTAACCCTCGATAGTCACATGATATATGTATTAGTCATGTGTGTGATGCTCTTCAACTTTATTTTCCTTTGAAAACATACGATGGAAAAATATTCAAAATGGAGAGTAAGTTCAGGTCGACTTCAAAATTCAATAGGATATCAGTTTAATTTTTTCTATTTCAGGATGCCAGCACTGGTATTCAACCCTTTGTTCCTCCCGTGGTATGTAAAGAATCTTAACCTGAAGTAAATAAGTTTTCACTCAAAATTTATCGAAACCATTTTGTTTCTTAGCCTTCACGAACAGAATCTAATTTAGAAGCGAAAATTGCAGTGGTGCTTGGATTTTTTCTGAAGCCTGTTTTAGGAATTCTCAAGGTGTTATTAGTTTGCGTAGACGCCTTATTACTATTCCTTGTGGTCGATGTTATTGGATTA